CAGGACACATTTCATAGAAATTTGCGAAATCAGGAAAGCTGGGTATCGTGTCATCTATCACCAGGAGACATCAGCCCATACATCCTCCAGACTTCACAATAAAAGCCACAATTGACACTTTTTTTTGTTTGTTTCTTACAATTATTTTCTGCAGCAGTGACCGCAAGGCTTGTTCCTCAAGGTTAAACAAACTTTGGGTGCACTCAAGACTTTTCTAGAAGGCTTTGAAAAACAGGCACACTGGCTTTAAATCTCCCTGCAGCTGTATGAAAAAGTGTTTTAGGAAATGTTTGACTGTGATTCTCTCTGAAACATCAAATGAGGGACAAAAAAAGGAAAATAATAACAGAAGGGAGGAAACTGGAGAAAAAAAAATCCTATGCTGAGTGCTGGTGATCACGATCAGAAGATGAATACTTGATAGTTTTTACATTTTGTGGAGGTAGAAAACAGAAAAATATATAAAAACATTTAAAGAAATTGTAAAAAAAATAAGAGAGATTATTCACAGTTGGCTGGGTTGCTTTGATTTTTTGACCTCCAGGACTGCATCAGAAATGACTTCAACAAACCAATAATTTAAAAACTCATTTTCTCTGTTAAAGACAGACCTGATGAATTTTTTAGTTTGCAACAAATCTGCAACCTCTTATTTGGCAAACTTAAAACTTGTCAACTGCAAGGTAAATGACAGGAAAATCAGTTTAATTTTGGGTTTATACCACTGAATAAACCAGAGAGAAGCTTTGCTGACATATCTGGAGGTATAAAACTGGACTTTTTTGGCCTGAATATGAGGACGCTGATTGGACTACAAACAAAGCAAAGCTCAGAAAAACTCATCTCACGCTTCTTCATTTATTTTCATTTTCCCTTTTAGACAGATCAAGAAAAAGATTAATGAAAGTAAATATATTAACTAAAATTAATAAATATATGGCAAGTGAATAAAACAATCCATACCTAAATGAATGAATGAAACCCCCCCCAAAAAAAAAAAAAAAGTCAGCCTCTAGTGGACACTTGGGGAACTGCAACTTTTACCACGTGTGCATTGACTTCATTCTTTTACACTGAATGTTTCTGCTTGGATTTTATTCTAATTTTGAATCATGTCTGTCACCAGTATTTTATTTACAGCTTTTAACATCAGTTTTCATGTTGGATATTTTTCTATATTCAACTTTTCTGTGTAGTTCAACGTTTGTGGTCCTGAATAAAGTTTTCTGCATTAAGATGAAGGGCTGTTTTCCATACTGTCAGTTTGTTCTTATATGTAATAGTTTTCCAAACTTGAAGGTTAAACCGATACGATTACATATTTGTCTAATTTGTCTGTGAGCGCTGCGCTGACAAATTTCTCCCATAACCTCTTGTGAGTATTTGGTGTAGCTGGTAAAGTTTGAATTAAGTCCTGTCCAGCCTCTCAGATGTGTGTGTGTGTGTGTGTGTGTGTGTGTGTGTGTGTGTGTGTGTGTGTGTGTCAGCCCTGTGCATGACAAACTGGTCCAATTTCAGGCGTGTCTCTGCAGCTCCCTGATATTTGTCTCACTGCTGTTGTTGTTGTTGCTTTCCTCCTCCTCCTCTTCTTCTTTTTAGTTTCTGCTCAGATTTGAATCACGGGGGGGTGGCTGTGCTCTGTTCTCGTCTGACAGCGCAGAAATAATTACAGTACAGCCTTCCCTCCTCGCTAGCTGTTATATTAGTGCTCTTATCAGGCTGCTGAGGGGGTATTTGATCAACTAAGGTCACTGTATCCTGACCACAGCACAACAGCTACACCACCATTTGGAGATATGATAAATAAAAGCAGTGGGTTACGATGAAACAACACTGTTATCTGCTGCTGAGTGCTTTTTGTTTCATTCGCCCCCTTTGCCTTGAAAAAAGAGGAGAAAGTTAAAGTGGAAGATGGTGAGAACAAAGATGATTTGAGGTAAAAGATAAGCTAAATAATAAATATAGCCACAGGATTTTGATGTGTAAAACAGAGAAGCTGCACTTTCAGCCCTCATGAGTGGTGTTTTATTATTTCCACGGCCCTGCAGTGATAGTGCAAGGGGTGCAAGGAGGCGGCTGTAGTGGTAAATGCAGCCACATTATTCTAAAACCTTCTCCCAGACAGCAGCACAGTGAGAGCGGAGATAATAGATGCACCTACATTATCCTGAAGTAGCGGGGAAATTGAGGGGTTAGGAGGTTGAGCGGGACAGATGTGCTTACATTATTCTAACGTCGGGCTGATAGCGACGGGGTCAAGTCGGGAGGTGCAAAAATAAAAATGTGTACATTATTCTGGAGTCAGGTAAGAGCGAGAGGTGAAGGCGAGCGAGGAAAACAGATGCAGGTACATTATTGTGGAGTCAAAGTGAAGATTTTTAGAGGTAGAGGTGAGGCGAGAAAATGGACGCACCATTACTCCTCATTTTAAATGATAGCAGGGGGTTAAAGATGCGAGTTCACCAACATTATTCTCGACCTGAAAGAGACTGGAGGACTATGGGTGCAGCTTCATATAAATACTGAGGTAAGTCCAGAGAAGGGAAGTCACATATGTTAGTGCATAAAACAGGATGCATGTTTCCTGTACGTAAAACAATGTAGGTGCTGCCGCATTAACCAAGAATCACTGGACATGAGTAAGTTTTTTTAAATTGGTCAATTACTATTTCAATAGAGCGTAATAATAATTTTAATTGTTAACTGACTGGAGACAATCCAGCATTGATTTTATAGTTTAATCCATGTCACACTAGTTAACATGTGAGTTTTAGACCTATACCAAAGCCAGCCACCAGAGGGAGCTCTGAATATGTTGGCTTCATTGGAGAGTAGTTGTACCGCCAATGTTTTTCATTTACAAAATCCAATTCCATTGAAGTTGGGAAATTGTGATAAATGTAAATAAAAATGTAATACAATGATTTGCAAATCATTTTCAACCTTTTCAACACTTCTGAAAACCACTGTCAGTAAATACAGTTCGTCGCTACATCTGTAAGTGCAAGTTAAAACTCTACTTTGCAAAGAGAAAGCCATTTATCAACAACATTCAGAAATGCCGCCGGCTTCTCTGGGCCCGAGCTCATCTAAGATGGACTCATGCAAAGTGGAAAAGTGTTCTGTGGTCTGACGAGTCCACATTTCAAATTGTTTTTTGGAAATAGTGGACGTTGTGTCCTCCGGGCCAAAGAGGAAAAAAAACATCCAGACTGTTAAAGACGCAAAGTTCAAAAGCCAACATCTGTGATGGTATGGGGGTGCATTAGTGCCCGAGGCATGGGTAACTTACACATCTGTGAAGGCAACATTAATGCTGAAAGGTACATACAGGTTTTGGAGCAACATATGCTGCCATCCAAGCAACAACTTTTTCAGGAAACCCCTGCTAATTTCAGCAAGACAACGCCAAGCCACATTCTGTACATGTTACAACAGCGTGGCTTTGTAGTAAAATAGTGCGGGTACTCTACTGGCCTGCCTGCAGTCCAGACCGGTCTCCAATTGAAAATGTGTGGCGCATTATAAAGCGTAAAATATGACAACGGAGACCTCGGACTGTTGAACAACTGAAGCTGTACATCAAGCAAGAATGGGAAAGAATTCCACCTTCAAAGCTTCAACAATCAGTCTCTTCAGTTCCCAAACGTTTATTGAGTGTTGTTAAAAGGAAAGGTGATGTAACACAGTGGTAAACATGCCCCTGTCCCAACTACTTTGGCACATGTTGCAGCCATGAAATTCTGAGTTAATTATTATTTGCAAAAAAAAAAAAAGTTTATGAGTTTGAGCATTAAATATCTTGTCTTTGTAGTGTATTTAATTGAATACAGGTTTAAAAGGATTTGAAAATCATTGTATTCTGTTTTTATTTACGTTTATCACAATTTCCCAAATTCAATGAAATTGGGTTTTGTATGTGAAAATGCTAAATGTGTCCATCCAGGCTGATTCTCATCGACTGTGAAAGAGATATTGGGACATTATTATGTTGGTTTTGACGTTTCACATCTTTTTTAAACTACCAAAAATCCCCACAGTGCACAAAAATGTAACAAAATAAAAACAGTTTTTGTTGGACACTTAAACACATTATGACACAACAGTATGTGAGGTGAATTTCTAAAGCTACACATACCTCAAATGGCAACAGCTCAACTGGTGAAACTGAAATATGAACAAAAACGCTGAGAAGTTAAAAAATAAATAAATGCAAATATAAGAAGAGCACAAAAGTTATTATCTGCACACACTCACACAACTTAAATCTGTCTAGAGACTTAATAAAGTCAGATGTGAATTTGTTCATCATCCACAGAAACCTGCAGCCTGAATATGACAGTTAGTCAATGCTGTGACTGCCACAATGCAAAGTAACGCAGCGCCCACTTACTGACAGCATGCTGGATATATGCTCTGTGTGTGCGTGTGTGAAACACATTTAGAGCCAATGTGACGTCTCCTGACAGTAAATATTTGCAGTCTCTTCACTCTGATGATCTCTGAGTCTCTGACAGACTCTTTAGTCATACAAATATGAAGCTGGAGAGTGCACACACTTTTGAACACCACAGAGCTGTTACAGTGACAAAGAACAGGTGAGAAGCTAAGAATCAGCACCTGTTAACCACAGATACGATAGCTGATGTCCATACAGATTTAACTGAAATTATCCATGATAGCGGAGTTTTACGGTGTACTACATTTAGAAAATAAAAAAATTCTCATAACTTTTTTTTAATCAGATCTTTAATGTTAAGTTTGAAAATCTGTCCTTAGGATCACAGATTTTGGTGCCTTTTGTATAATTCTGATAAAATCATCCATAAAAATCTGCATCAGGTTGATCTTAACCATTGTTTATAGGAATGTTTTAAAATGTCTTAAGACCTCCAACCCCCCACAGACAACCTGAAGCAGTCTGAAGTTTGAAATAAGAAATAACATATACTTTAATATAGTTTTAAACACAGTTAAATAAATGAAATCCAGCAGCAGCGTAGATGAGATACATTCCTTTATTGTCATTAAATTTCGGAAATGTCTTTTCTGCGTCAGGAATGTCACGTCCAAACCGGAAAAAAAAAAAATCAAAAAAATCTGCTCAGAGAAAGCATTTCATCATCTGTGAAAGTAAAAATAAAATCAACTAGAGGTTTCAACCATTGCACATCATTCGGCAGCAAAATGTGGAATGAAACATGGAAAAATACAAAAGGGAACAATCAACACAGTGTTATATGATTGAAGATTGAGGAGGAGTGGGAAATTAAATTCAAATATTTCCAGTTTTAATTTCAGCTTTAGTCTTAGGAAAGAAGGAAAAGATTTAAAGATTCAGGATTTTAAAATGAAATGTGTTCAAAATTCAACAAAATGAAATCAAGAACTAAATCTTTAGCTGCAGCCCTCACTCTGATCGACATGAAGAGAAACAGCCGTTAAAAATAATCCTCAGTCTGAGGCTGTTCTCTGGACAGACACACACTCTGGCCACCTGTCAATCACACACACATACCTGCACACCTGCAGTCCTCTGATGGTCTGAAACCTGGTTTGGTTCAGTCTCTCTAACAGAAACATCCCTTATCTGCAGGGATCACAGCCTGTTTGTTTAATAAGCTGCTGGAAACGAAAATAAAATCTAATGAACCGGATTTCCAGCCATCAAAGGATCCTCTTTAAGACAAACTGGAGGAAGAAAAACTGTTCAAACTTTCAGACTCAGGTCTGCTGTGAAGGAACAACGATGGACAAGCTCAGATTATTTTAGGGTTCAGACAACATAAGAGAAAGGAAACAGACCTTTGATCACAAAGAGAGCCCCCCGTTTAAAGCAAAACACTCCCTGTTCATTAAATCCACCAGAGTCCCTCCATGAACACAGGAGCTGTTTGTCTACCTCGGCCTTGGTTGGTTAGTTTGTAGATCTGATGTGGAGAGGATTCCTACTAATAAAGGACTTTTTTACAAGAGCAGGATGTTGTTTTCCACCTAAAACAGCAGACTAATCCCTCTACTTCAAGTTAGGCTGTTTCGAAGCAAACTAAACAGGGGGTACCATTAGCAGAGGCTACCATTAGCAGAGCTAGCACCACCATCCTGAGGTCTATACTGCAGGTTACAACTCAAATGAGGAATTTTAGGTGTCAGACCAGACGCTAAAGAAACTGCTTTTTCTTACTTTTTTAGAATGAGTCATCAGTTATCAGCTGGTAGATAATTTCTACAAATCAAGGCATACTAAAGATGTCATCTGTGCGTGTTTAAATGCGGGTAGTGAGCATTACAGCGTCATGGCAGCAGCCATTATTCAGACTAACGACCCCCTCTAGTGGCAGGTAGCATAGACACAACATGTGTCCAGCATTTAAGGCCTACTATGATAAAAACACTAATAGTGAGACAAGCTGCCCTGTAATTCTGGTGCACTAAATAAGTCTACTACACACAAACATCTCGCAGTGTGAGCCTCAGGGTTTAGCTGAACCAGGACGCAAACTTCTTCCTCCACATCAGCTTAAAGAGGACAGAAACTCAAAGTGTTGCCTTCACATTCCGATCATACAGCAACAAAAACTAAAGAAAGGTTCTTATTTTGAAAGGTATGCAGGAAGTGAGCTGATTAAACAGATGACAGGTCATACAAGACATAAAATAGCAAAAGCTGCAGTGAGTTTCTGACTTCAAATCAGTTGTAAAACTATCTTCAAAATAAAAGCACAGAGAGTTAAAATCATCATGGTGTCATTAAGCTTCATTGTTAAGCTGCTGTTGAGCTCAATATAAAAGCTGTTAGTGCTTTCAGCATTACTAGCATATAAAAACGACTGATAATGGGTAATGACGGAAAATTTAGGTGTTTTTTTTTATTTCCCACCCTGCTTTCAAATGCTTGAACAAAAAGCTGCTTATTAAAAAACCTTGAGGGCGCAAAGCGCCACCCACAGACATCCAATCAGAGAACTCCAGATTCTGTTGCTGGGCAGAAAGTAGAAGGGGGCTACAAATCAGTTACAACTGATCTTAGAAGAAAAACTGAAATGTCTCGACAACCTCTTTTGGGTTAAGGACCTAAACTCACAGATTTTCTTTTTGTTAAATTAGATTTTTGATAATTTTGATTTTTGGAATATGTCTAAAAATCTTGTGAATTTTGACAATTCTCTTGGACTTTTTTTTTTTTTTAAGAATCTGCTTCCATACATTTAAGGCCAACGTAGTTGAAATAAAATATATGTCTTTACATTTAAATAAACACTTTCTGATGAATAATATTCCTGTTTATCTCAAATTTAGTGCCGCTGGCAAAACAACCAATAGTGAAATTAATGAAGTGTCTTTTTTTCATTTTTACACTCCTGCTTTTAAACACTAATTAATTTATCTGCTTTCTTGAAAAACAAACAACGGCAAAAGCTGCATTAAGAAGTTAATTCTATTACCCATAAATCACTGCAACCAAAGTGATCCAATCAATGCACTTTGGAACACCTTTCAACATGGGGAGATTTAACTGCCCTGCGCAAATCATTGCAAGTGTAATGTGCATGCGCAAAATGGAGCGCGCCATCAGTGTTTTCATTGAAAACCCTGACTTGCTGTTGACAAAGGTGGCTGCAGCATTTCAGAAATATCCTAATCTGAAGGGCGTTTTTAAAAGTTACAGTTGAGGTCAGCCTCAATGCCATCTCCACAGTCATGAGAAAACAATCTTTGTTATATCGAGATAATAAGTTAAGTCATTTTCTTGAGATAACAGTGCATAAAAAAAGAGAAAAACCCATGGCCGTATTTGGGTTCTGTATTTCGAAAGTTGGATACCCATATTATTTTTTTTAAACTCAGGATTTCAGTGTATCATAACTGTTTCTTCTTTTTTTTCAACTTTTTTTCAAAATGTATTTTTTTTTCTTATTTCATGATAATCATATTTATGATCAATTTTACATTGATCTTTTCCCGTGTTATGTTTAATAGCTAGAGCGACTCTCTTCCATTTTAAGACCCCGCTAATGGGAAAAATAACATTTCTTTACGGTTTGATGTGGATATCTGTAATATTGAGGAAAACTTTGGTCTTTCTTTTTAAATTAAACCTCTTCAAGTGTGTGATTCCTCCACCATAACACCTCTCATATTCCCCTGTGTGTGTGGTCAAAAGCATTGACAAAGAGATGTGGTTGTATAAATGTTCACTGTTCAAGAATCTAAATCTAAAAGAAAAAAGCCATCACCAGTGTTTAAATCTGTGCTGCATTCAAGTCACACAGGATCAAAAATTAAATCACGGCAGGTTTCAGGGGCTTAAATATCATATTTTCTCTGAACCCAGAAATTCTGCAAATGCTAAGATAGTAACAACATTAGGAGTGCAAAACTTAATTAAATCGGGAGACTGATAAATCCCGCAGGACTTGAACACAGCCTGAAGTTCAGCTGAAATAAAAAGAGAAATAAGAGATATTTGGCTGAGTTTTGTTGCTGATTTTTTTCTTTTACTGCAGAAAAGTCACTTCTCTTCTTCACTCCAGGCTTGCACAGGAGGATAAAGGTGATCCGAGAGGACAGGTGCATTATGGGTGGTGTAGTTTGACCGGAGCCAGTCAGGACTGTCCGTTATGTTTGTGTGGACTCTATGAGATGGCCTTTGCCTCAGGTAAGAAGGCCTCCCAATATTTAATCAGCTGTGAGGAGAGAAAAAAGACAACAAACCACATTAAAATGAAATAAAGGTGAAAACAAGGAAGCCTGGTTTAATTCACATTACATTTTTTTAATTGATTAATGTTACAAAAAATTGAAAAATCGCACCAAAATTTAAAAAATATCAAAATAAATCCAAAAAGGCCACCATTTAGGCCGAATGGTTTAATCATGCTAAACATTTAACGGGAAAAAAATGTACCAAAAAATTTAAATTTATATAAAAATAAATTTAGATTCTTTGATTTTTGTAAATATAAAATTTTGTAGAATAAAAATAAGACTTTAAAATTGCCAACATTAGACTTCTATATAATTTTAGCTTAAAATACAGTTTTACCCACATATACACCTTTGAATACTGACCACCTCTTGATATTTCATCTATTAAAACAATAATAATTAAAGTACAGTGAATATTTACCTGCTGTTGTGTCTGAACCAGAGACTCCAGATATTTAATAATGATGGTTTTAAAGTCCTTCACTCGTTCTTTCTGTTTGGAAAAATTTAATTCACATTTTTATTTATGAAAAAAACAAAAGCCTTTAAGATTTGAATCGCAGTAAAAGAGTTATATTTATTTAACTGTCTTTTATTTATTTCATTCGTCGTCTCACCTCAAACCTGCTGACTTCTTTACGGATGGTTTTGGAGATTTGCTCAAAGTCTCTCTCTCCCTGTTGGACCTTCCCCTCCAGCTACAACACAGAAACACAACAAAAACAAAAATGTTCATTATTTTGTTAAGTGGATCCTTTATTTTTAGAGGAGGAACTTGATTCCTCCATCTGAGCATTAAATAAACACATCATCTATTATTCTTCCTACAAATCCTCAATAACTGTCATTTAAGGGTCACATTTCCTGAACAAGAGAAATATGCTTTCCAGACTAAGTGACTCCACTATTGTATTTGTTTATTCTATTTTATTTATTTATTTATGGGGGGGGGGGGGGGGGTTGACATAATCTATGTTAAAAAAAAAAGATGTTCGATTTCTAATCTCATTTGAATACACACTTATCTGGGAATTCTAATAAAGACCACTCAGAGCTACATTAATGTGACATGCAGTGAATATCTTATGAAATCATGAACTTTTCTGTAAGCGGACTTAACAACTTATGATGTGACCAAGTCACCAAAAAATTTCATTATTTCATGAAAAATCTGCTCATTTTAAATTTGATGATCTGATGACTTAAAGATTTATTTCCTACAGGGTAGTAACATAACTGGGTATAAAAAGGACTTTCAGAGAGGCTGAGTCTCTCAGAGGAAAAGATGGGAAGAGGTTCACCGCTCTGTGAGAGACTGTGTGAGTTAATAGTTTAACAGTTTCAGAATAATGTTCCCGAGGGTCAATTGTGAATGAATGAGTGGATTTTATCATCTACAGTAGAATCAGAGAATCTGGAAAAATCTCTGTACAAAAGGGACAAGGACCAAAACCAAGACTGCATGGTCCTGATCTTCAAACAGGACAGGACTCTGGAGTGGGAATCATGGCATGGACTCAGAATCACCTCAAAAACTACTGACTGTGAATACAGTTCATCACTGCATTCACAAATGAGCTTAAAACTGAACCATATAAAAAGGAAAACAGATAGAAACAGGATCTAGAAGACCTATTAGGACTGGAGTCCACTTAAGATGGTCTGTCGCAAAATCAAAAACTGTCCTGTGGGCTGATTGACATTTTTTTTTTTTTTTTTTTTAAACTGTGCATCCTCCTCTCTAAAGAGTAGAGGGTCTACTCAGCCTCTGCTCAGCTCCCAGTCCAGATCCAGCATCCCTGATGGTACAAGGATCATCAGAGTCCATGTCATGTGAAGGCTCCATTAATGCTGAGAAATATCTGGTTTAGGAGCAACATCTGCTGACATCCAGACAAAGACTTTTGCAGGGAAGACCTTTATATTTCAGGAGGACAATGACAAACCACATTCTGACAACAGGGACTACAACAGCAAGGATCAGTAGGAGAGGAGTCCTGCTGAGAAACTGGACTGATGTAGTCCTGACTGTCCCTTATTGAAAAGTGAAATCCACTTTTTTAGAACATTAGAGCATATGTTTTTCATGAAGCAATACAATTTTACAGATCCAGTATTTTGTTTAGTTTTTGTAATATTCCCATTTAAAAAGTTAAAAAAAACAGTCACAAAGGCTGGGTCTTTCAGAAACGTGGTTATACTAAGGTCGAGTTACTGATATTGATGAAATTAACACATCAACCACACAGTTATATGAGAGCTTAAAGGCCGTGGGATTCGATAAGCTTCACTTGCTGGTTTTATTAGTTGTTATATTTGGTTAAATGAGCCGTGAGGATGAAAACAAACACTTGTTTAAGTAAATGATCTGAGCCGTCACATGAAAGAGTTTGTCTACTTACTTTAAAGGTTTAAGTTAAACCCTGATACTCTAAATAAACCTGCTCCTTAAGGGCGGATTTCGAATAAACACAAGCTTTATTGACAAACAAGTTCATGTGATGGCTGACAGTTCAACAGTGGAGGTGAAAAACAGCAACAGAACAAACAGAAAATGAACGGTGCTGTAAAAACAGAGTGGTGGATGAGAGGCAAACAGTGCAACTAAAGAGGTGTGGGGCAGGCAGGCAGGCAGGTGGAGGACACAGAGCTGCAGACAGACCGAAGGACAGACAGGTAGATAGATAGATGAAAAGACAGGGGCAGGTCCTACCTCCTCAATCTCCTGGGTAGCGGGAAGGCATGGCGGGGAAAATGCAACAAAATTTAAAGAGGCAGGAAAAAAATGTTCAGAGCTTCCAAAAATCAAAGAGGAAGATCCGCAGACATGAGCAAAGAAAATACAGATAAACGGAAAAATTCCTCCCTCAGACACTCTTACAGAACTCGACATTATCTAATATGGATTTGAGGAAATCTGGCTTCATCTCACACCTGATAAATATGGAGCTCCAATCAGGGGGGTTTGAGTTTAGCAGAGAGATTCAGGGTGGGACTACTCGCCTGGATTTGTCCTTAAATCTACACCAGGTACAGTCTGATCCCACCCATTATTGTCTTGAGAGTGGAGGTAATGATAATGTGATGCTGCACAGATATGAGACCAGTCTGAGGAGCTGCTGGACCCCCAACCATCTTTGATTATGGGACATCCTGTCCTATAATCCATGTGACAACAGCAGCAGAGCTAAAGACACACTACAAGATAACCCTCCTGGTTCTGAGCCTGATTCTTCCCTCCTGACTAAAGTCGGTAAAAGCCCAATCATCTGATGGTTCGGGATATTATCTGGCCTGAGTGTTGTGAGCTGTGAGGTCTGTAAACAATTGAAGCCTCCCTGACCAGACGTCCCAAATATTTAACATGTTTCAATGTTTACGATCAGCAATATATGTGAGTGTGGGGGGATTTCTGAGAAAACTGTCATGAAACAGGGCTTGGAAAGGAGCTCACCTGGAGCATCAGATAATCAGGTGCGTCATGAAAACACAACTAATATACTAGACCCTAAGCATGTTCAGTCATGTTAGCTTCTGATGTATGAAATATTCACAGTGAAACCACGTGAATCAAAAAGTCACTCCTGATTTAAAACTGTTTTCTAACAGCACTGGTTTTCCTGCACAAACAGCTGCACTGTTGTTGCTGTTATCAGCCCACAGGGGGCAGTGTGGTTTTAGAATCAGAGCCACAGAAGAGAGACTCGAAAGAGAGAAGGTTTTACAGGTCCTGAGTAATTTGGTTCAGAACATCATTTTAAATTTCATTTTTTTATGTTTGGGAGAAAATCTAAATGGACCGTAAATTAGAAAATTAAAAGAGCCTTTTGAGCTAAAACATGACAAATTTACAGTGTAGTTTTATGGAGACAGTCTGTTTGTTTTAGAGCCAGCCCGGACATTTGATTTTACCACCTATGATAATAAAAAACATTTTTTAATCTTTAAGTGTCTACTCGCTACATTTTATCAACATTATGCCGATGTCATTGTAGTCATTTTTGTGCTGTTTTTTTGACATTCGTTCTTAAAAGTCGAATGTTAGTGAGTTAGTTTGTCTTATTTCCGGTCAAACAGTAACGTCTTACTGAGTTTCATTTGAGCCACATCCATCCTGACAAAGGCAGGAAATGTCTTATGTCTTATTTACACACATATGTACGATGCTCGTAATGAGTGAAAGAGAAAACCCTCTTTTCAGGCTCCTTTAAAAAAGAAAAACCTTTTATTATATTCTTATGATGTTATTTTACTCATCACAAGTAATTTAAATACTTGCTTAAATTAGACCGAATTAGACATGTTTTGTCTGTACTCATAATAACTGATTTAATAAAATAATGGTTAAAGCCCTTCAGAAATCCCTCACTCCCCTCTCTTGGTAGATAATGAATCAGGGTAAAAAGCTCTTCTTTGGGTGTAACTCTGTCCTTTGCAAGGTTCGCTCTGCAGGTTTTCAGCACCGTCACCTGAGCCATATGAAGTAAAACTCTCCTCTCTGTTTTTGGCTGCAGAAAAAGCCGCTCTGTGTTTTCTGTTGCTGATGTCAAACCCAAACTCCGACTCCTGACAGGCAGCAAAACTCTCAAATAAATGTTGGTTGTAACTCTACTGCGATCTGTCCTCGTCTCCAGCTCCTGACAGCCTCCCCCAAAACTCCCCCGTCCTCCTCCAACACATCTGACAGCTCCTCGGCTCTAACACCAGAGCAGACCCCCGACCACGCTCTATGTGTGTGTGTGTGTGTGTGTGTGTGTGTGTGTGTGTGTGTGTGTGTGTGTGTGTGTTCTCTGACAGGGAGGATGAATTTGTGTGGTGACAGCTTCAACAAACGCTCTAATAAAGTACTTTTCTGCTCACTCTGCTCTTGTTTGTCGTTCTGAGTTTGTCTGCAGACTCAAAGAAAACAAGATTTATGTTTAAAAAAAAGTTTTCACATGACTGAGCCGTGAAGGCGCGCTCGTTTTCTCTAACTGGACACACCAGCAGCTTAAAGAGAAGAGAGAGGATCGTGTGAGCATCGTTTCACTTCATCAGCTAAACCTGGACTTTGACCTTCACGGTGGATACACAGTTATACACTATACTCATAGTACGTTGGGTTTATTGATGTAAATACAATCAGTAAAGGATAATAAGGAGAGGGTAACAGAATAGAGTCAAACAAATATTTCCGTGTCTGTCAAATAAGATGAGTCGCCCATAAACAGACATGTGAAGACACAGGTGATGACCAGTGCTGCTGCCCCATCCACAGCTGTGCTCCATTTGAAGTCAATTTAAACTACGGTGTAAACTATGGCAGAAATTACAGTGTAAATTACAGTGTAAATCACAGTTTGTAATACAGTGTAAAATATTGTGTTAATGATGGTTTGAATTATGGTGTAAATTACAGTGTAAATTAGGGTGTAAATTACGATTGAAATGACAGTTTGAAATATGGTGTCAATTACAGTTTGAATTAGAGTGTAAAATATTGTGTTAATTATGGTGTAAATTACAGAGTAAATTACGATTTTAATGACGGTTTGAATTATGGTGTCAATTACAGTGTATATTAGGGTGTAAATTACGGTTTTAATGATGGTTTGAAATACGGTTTCAATCCCAGTGTAAATTACAGTGTATATTATAGTGTATATTACAGTTTGAATTACAGTGTGAATTACTTTTATTTATTAATTCATTGAGTTGTGACATTCTGATGGTAGGGCTGCTCAATTATGACAAATATGACTTTCATCTTTGTTTAAAATTCAAGTCTTTGTTTAAACTCAGAGAAAAGAAGCTAATTTAAACCATGATGAGCTGTGTGTATTCAAAACAAAGTTTATGAGCCCATCAGACCATTTGGAGTCACTTGCTGACTGATCCAGCAAAGTACTTTTTTCCATTGGGATCTGACAAATGAATGGCACTGGTGACCTCAGTAAATGAACACAGGGATGTTTTCTAGAGGTACAGAGGATGTGCACTGTAATCAATGCTGACCGGAGTGAACAGTCGTGGCAGCAAATATCTGAGAAACTCTGTGTGGAAGACCTTTGGATTCTGCACCACAGATAGTGAAGAACAAAGATGTGGCTGCACGATTCAGTTAATCTACCTATCGTGCCATTTTCTGGATCAGATATTAGACAGAAGTTGCTCGTAAGGAAACAGTTGACACAAAAAAAATCAGAGTCCAAAGATCTGATACTTTATCGTACTCCGTTTCTTCCCACATCATGACTCAGCTGGAGGGAGTGCAGCCCTTCAGGTGTGGCTCGCTTCTTTCGATCAGAGATAAACGTTTTCTTTTCTGTTGTTGTTGAAATTTAAAACTTTTACTCGAGCATCAGTGTGAATTTGACATCGACAGGTTATTTCAATAACGCCCCACATGAGGAACCTGGAATATTGAATCTCTCCCATACTGACTCTATTAGTTGGTGTATTCTTAAAAATATTGATCATGACTGTGATTGTTACTAGTATATATCTGGTTTTCAGTCTCACCTCTTTGATCTCGTCTTTGGCCTGCTGCAGTTTGTCTGGTTTGTTGGTGTTTTGCAGTTTGGCTTCAGCTTCTCGTTTCTTCTGCAGGAGCAACTGAGTGTCCTGCCACTTCTGCCACGTCTTCATACGGTGATCAAACACACCCTGAGAGAAGAAACACAGAGAAAGTGTCAAGATTTTCAGAAACAGAAGCTTAGGACAGTCTCAAACATTTTCTCTCGCTGAATCAATGCCGTCATGATCTCATCCCGTTAGTATTAGACCAACAAAGGATTAAACCTCCACTGAGGAAATGCTGGAGCTGCAGAAAAGAGTAAAGGGGGTCCAAGTCTTTATAAGCACTATAATATGTTCAATATTGAAAATGAAAAATCTGATTTAGGGAAAATTTGAAGATCTTTAAGTCTGTGTGGATTTTGGCACTCTCTCGGTGGACAGAGTATATGACATGTAGTACAATGACTAGACTCTAATTAAAGGGATCACAGGGTCAAGGTTTGATCTACCAGTGGACTAGTCCACAGCAAAATAAAGGACACGTTTTCACCTAGTTTAATTCTACTCTACTTGTCTCTACTTCACTCTTCTTGTCTTGTTCCTACCTGCACTCAGGTGTTCAGCGTCCAGCAGCTCAGACAGCAGGTTGGATCAATAATTCAGCACAGCAGAGTCAACACTTTTTACCTTCATGGTCTGAATTTCACCAAATCCACCTACAGATTCATTCTCTTTTCTCCACCCATGCTCAGATGCTCAGTTTGTGCCCCTGGCATTCAGACAGACTTCGTTCGTACCTTGACAGCGGTGATGAGGCGGACGTAGTCGCCAAGTAACTCAGAGAAGAGATGGAAGTCTGCGTTGGCCTGATCCTGGTGCAGCTGGTCGATTTTCTCCTCCACCTCGGCCAGCTGGGACAGAGCCCGAGACAGAGCTGTGTGGTCCTCGCTGTTCCCCAACATGGCCGCCGACTTGGCGAACTGTGCCGTGTTCACTGACAGCTCTGCGGAGATAATGAATGAAACAGCCTGGCATGAAAATACAATACAGCAGAGAAACAGTCCTTCAAAATACAGAGACCTGCTGCAGTAGAAGTAGTCTCAGTGCTAACTTCGCTCTAAAAACTCTCCATCTTTTCTCTGAGTTCAAATAAAGATTAGATTTAGATGGATACACAGTTTTCATCAAACTAGCAAACAGAGAAATGGGTGTTTTCATTCGGTAAGATAAAATACTTCATGTAAAGAAAGGACCAATACACAGACATGAACTTTGCTGCTGCTCTCCCCGCCTTGGGCTTTGTCACACAAATAAAACAGAAAACATGATGATAAATCATTTTCTCAGACTAAAACTACGTATCATTATAAAAACTGGACCTGGTCATAAAGAGGGACTGTGAGATTCTCAAACAGAGACAATAAGGAGATATTAGAAGGAAGAAAGACAGTCAGAGGGTTTCGAACCTTTTCTGTGACAGACCAGAGACTCCACACTGACATGAAGTTTCCTCAGCTGAACGTCCAGATTCTCAAAATGCTGCTGCTTCTCCTCAAACCACTGACACACAAACACACACATGAACACACATACAGGTAAATGCACACTTCAGCATGGGCAGGTTCACTCTTCAAAAACGGTCAAAACAGGAATATAACCTTAAATTTTACAATAACCTAAAACTCCTTTATTCTTTCCTTTAATCCTCCTTTTCTGATTCTTTCCTTCATTCCAGCATCGATTCCCCTTTTTCGTGTCTCATTCTTTCATTTTTTCCCGCCTCCTTATTGCATCCTCACTTTTTCCTTATATCCATATTTCCACCTTGATATTTTCCTTCCTCCTCTTCGTTCTACTTTTCGTTCCCCCTAATTCCTTCTTCACCTTCCAGTATCTGTCTCCACACATCCCTTTTTCATTATGTTTCAGCTTCCCAACCATGTCTCTTCAGCCCTTTCTTCTTTTCCTCCATTATCCCACTTTCTTTATCTATTTTCCTAGATTCTGTTTTTCCCGGTGACCTTGGTTCCCCTCTTTGGAATAAGACCTCATTTTCCTCTTTTCTTTCCTCTCCTTTGCTTCCCTCCTTCCCTCCTCTCCTCCTTCATTCACTCACAGCATCCGACTCATTCATCTTGATGGTCATCTTGTTGACGGCGTCGGCGGCCTTGTTAACCATACGGAGGAGTCCGGCACTGCTGAGGGCTTGAGTGCTGACGGCCCGCGGCAACTGGACAACAAACAAACAAACAATAAATAAAAACAAAGAAACAAGAACAGCTGAAACATCCCTGTTTACCACGGTTCATCAAAGACATACACACGCACACAATGTTCTTCATGGTGTTTTATTTGACTGACTTGTTACACATTACCGCCACTTACTGGCCCAGCGTGCCTCTAAGAGCACTTTTCACCATTTCTGTGTTCACATGAGGACAGAATCTTTCCTTTTAACCCTGCTCTCAAAAATCATGGCACACGTGTAGAAAACCCATTTATATTTTCTGTCTTTGACTGTTCTTGTCATCTATTTCAATTCCGTTCTCTCCTCCTGAACTCTCCCCATGTACTCTTCCTCCCTGATTGTAATGTCTCCCACGTTTTACCTCCAATCGCACTAAAAGCAGCCTCTTTATGTGCAAAAGCCACCCTAGACCCCCTCCTGTCAGTCTGAGGTGGGCCGGACGTCCCTCTGAAAACAGGCTCATTTTTCTTCATTTTGGAAAAGTTTACATTTTTATCAGACATACAGGGTTTTCCTCCGGCACTGGAGCTGATTTACCCCCCTCCCCTAAATCTCATTTAACAGTCGCGGCTGCACCAAGGGGACGCTCGGTCCCGGGGGTCTCTCTCTGACGGAGGGACGAGGGTAAATGAGAGGAGGCGGGGGTTAAAATAGCTTTCAATTGTAACCTGGTCAGACCCCTCCCCCTCCTTTTCCCTCTGGTTGTGTTTCATTAAGCGGTCCGGACCAGTCGACACGCTCGGTCAGCCGTCCGAGTGATTCATCTGTTAAATCTGTGACATGAGGCCATTTATTCTGGACCCAACAACTGCTGGCCCCTCCCCATGCAATCCCTCCTCTACGGTTAGTGATGAGGAGGAGGAGGAGGAGGGCGGGTCAGATCCAACAAGACCAAACGTTACAGAGGATTTAGTCTGAGTGGAAAATAAAGTGAGGAAACAGGGGACGCCGCAGGCCCTTAAACCCTGAGGCAGTTTTTAGAGTCTAGGCTGCAGGCAAAGACTCGCCGCTTTGACCTTGTCGGGTTGTTTCTCTGCTCGCTGGATAAAGAAATGGAATGGGATGGAAAAAGTCAGGCAGAGTTTTTTCTTTGTTTGGGGGGCTGGTTAGTCGTTTTTGCCTCATCTGAAGAGGAGCTTTGGGTGTCTTCAGGGGAAAAAGTCTAAGAGTCTGGATCTGGTTCAGACTGGACTCAAACCTGATTTTATACCTGATGTATAAAAATCTAACTTTCATTATGACTCCAAAGAAGCAACAGTCAAAAGAAAACGGGAGAAGAAGAAAGTCAGGGCTCTCCAAGATGACTAATTTCCTAATTATTTATGTTTAACCAGATAAACAGCCTACATACGACTTTATCTCTGTTTTATTATGCTGCACTATGAGATGCCATCTGTGATGAAAGGTCTGACACTCTGCTGACACCTCTATCTTCTTAGAACTTAAAACCCAAATCATTAGTGCCTTCTTTTAGGTAATTTAACACATCAAACCATATTACCAGAGTATTTCTAATAAAGGGGTTTAACGTGAGTTTTTTTCAGGGTGTGATAGTTTGTTAAGTAGAGATCTAAACTTAAGGGGATTGTAGGGGTTGTGATCGCCAACATCATCACTCAATACAATACTGTTTTAGGCTCAAACCAATATGCAGCTGCTCTTAGTTGGGCTGCTCAATAGTATTCCTGGAGGAAAGGTTAGCCTTTTGTTATATCTTAGCATCATTGTTGATCGAAGAGACAGGGCAGTACGACTCACACTTAGTAGAAGGTTTTCCTGGTTTTAAAAATTTAAAAGTGCATTCCTAAGTGATAAGGGCAGCTCACCCCTCTCTCATGATTCCTCACACATATTCTATAAAGGGACAGGCAGCATATCCTTCAACTTTTTTTAGATATTAACAGGAATATCACTTACCTCTGAGCTCTCCAGGAACTGCAGAACATCAGGGTCCTTCAGCAGGATGGGATGTTTCACCGTCCTCATCAGATACCTGAAACACAAACGAGGAGCTAGTTAAAGGATGCTAAACTCTGTGCAAAAGAGGTTAAAGAGGTTAACCTATCCCTTTTTTATCACCAGGATTCTGATTTATTAACCCAAACTTACAGGCTGAACTTCTGTTTTAGGATTAAAATTTGAACTCTGTGTTTGTTTGTCCATCAGTGTGAGGTTCTGCTGGTCTGAGCTCCATCAGCTGTCACTGGCTGACCTTCCTGTCAATCAAACCCCAACAGTAAAGGGCAGCAGAATGTCAGCCCCGCCCACTTCTCACCAGTGTCCTCAATATTCAATACACATAAATAGACTGTACACACACACACACACACACACACACACACACACACACACACACACACACACACACACACACACACACACACTTCTAAATCATAATTACAAAAGGTGTATAAAAAATAGACTTTAAAAAGTCAGACTCTTACTCACACACCAACCAAATGTGACTTTTTGGGAAACTTCCATCAACCCTGCTTATTGAACTGTTTTTTATGCTCTTTTCACCATTTCATTCTGAACTACTGTTTCATATTCATGTTATTTGTTCAAACTGTTGGTATGAGTCAGGGATCTGTCATGAGAATGAGGACTGCCAAGGCCTGAGGCAGGGAGAGCAGCAGCAAAGAGCTGCACACGCACAGAACTAATCAGGTATCAGGGACTCTCTATGTGACATACTGTAGGTAAATATTTGTATTGGTAAAATTAGTCAGTGAAGTTTATGAGTTAAGTTTTTGAATAAAATGTATTTATAAATTAAATGAGTGAAGTTTATTAATAAAGTTAATAATGGTGTCATGCAGTAAAAAACACTTTTTTTTACCTCTCGAGCGCCGACCTCCTCTTCTCCACAAAGTCATTGGACGACTGGTCCTCCTTCCCCACCTTCACTTTAGTCATCCCTGCAGGTGAGGAGACAGATGCTCGTTAACATAACTGACCTGGACTCATGACAAAAACTGACACAAATCATTTACATAACAAACATATAGAGAGATGATCTGTAAACAAAGACAGCTTACAGAGCAAACTCTGAGGATCTTCTTCAAACACATGACATTTTCATCATTTGAATATTTACTCGTTTGTTTTCTGAACACTGATGAGAAGAAGTGTAACACAGTCCTCCACTGACAGGACTGGAGTTTTTTTTTTATGTTGTCTAATGGAAAATATGATTATCAAATTTAAATTCATTAACGGCACAATGTTTCAAAAAAGTTGTTCCAAGACCACTGGACAGGTTTCCACGACAGACCCGAGAGGTATTCTGGATTCTGTCCCTGTCTGGTTTCCTCTTTCATTTATGAATGAAGCAATGAACTGTGTTTAAAGTCAATGGTTTTTAATGTGATTCTGAGCCCATGCAGTAATTCCCACTCCAGAGTCCTGCCAGTTTTTAATGCAGTGCTGCCTGAGGGACTGAAGATCAGGACCATCTAGTCCTTGTCCCTTTAGTACAGAGATTTCTCCGGATTTTTTTAATATATGAATGAAACTATGGACTGTAGATGATGAAATCCACTCATTCTTTTCATATTTGACAAGCTGTTTCACCTTTAAAAATTGAGCTCATTTGAACTTTTTTGTATAGAACGGCAGCTTAAGATTCTTCACTGGATTAATCTGCTGATTATTTTCTCACTAATCCCTCTAATGTTTGGATTGTAAACATTCTGATAATTTTTACAGACTTTTGCACAATGATCCAGGGGCTGAAGTGACGCCATTACAAAGTTTTCTTTGTCTAAAACCGAAAGCCTAACTACGTTTTCAGAAATACTTATGAAATAAATCAAATCCTCCAGAGAAAAATTTTAAAATCTCATATTATAGAAGCTGGACACACAAATGTCCAAACATGAAAACTGTCTTATAAAAGAGTCATCGATTACTTCCTCCAAATGTAGCTCTACCTTTCCTACCCTTAGACATGTACCTTGGCGTTTGATTTGACGTACTGTGTGAAAAATCTTGATTAATAATTTTAACTAAAGTACAAAGAAAATGATAAAGGCTGTGTTTGTGGATCATAAAATACTCAGTGACTGACTGGAAAAGCAGGCCGGTGTTAGTGATGTGGCTTTAGATTGGTTCATATCACATCGACAGAACTAGGTGTGCTGCTGTCTCGACAACAATGGCAATGTTACTTTAGGGAGTCCCTCAAGGTGAACATCTGGGCCCAAAACTATCTTCACTTTACGTGCTACCTCTTGGCAATTTCATTTTTCATGCAGATGACACACAACTTCACATCCGAGCTAGTGACTTATCAAACATCAGGCTTCTTTAACAGGTGTGCAACAGAAATCAAGTCATGGATAACAGAAAACTTTCTTCAATGATTAATAAATCTGATAATATTTTGTTTTCATGAAAAATCTAGACTCCTCATTTATGAAGACACAGCTTTATAGAAACACTTTGATTTAGTGATTTCATTTCAATTTTAACATTTTATCTCAAATTTCATTCATCTGTCTGTATTTATTTCCTGTTCAATCATCCTTTACTTCACTTTACTTGAATATAAAAATTATTATTATTATTGATTTTAAATTGTCGATCTGTACTTACCCACAATGCTCTTCTCTGGTGCTGGAGGCACGATGTAGCCTACATGCAGGTACTTAGAGGCCAGTTTACTGTGCAGGCCCAGAAAATCACTGAATCGCCTTTTTACTGCAAACTCATTTGACTTAAATATAGACATGGAAGTCTGAACAAGAAACACAAAGAGAGAGAAAGAGAGAGAGAGAGAGAGAGAGAGAGAGAGAAATGTTAGCAAAATGAGTTTATGAAGTCAAGAAAAGAAAACTTAAATGTTTTTCAGGTTGCAAAAGTAAGAACTAGACAATCAACAGTACGATACTTTCAGTTATAATCGTCATTATTACTTGTTCAACTCTAAATTACCTGAGATCATAACCATTGTGAAAAATGTTTAATAAGGGAATGACACTTCTGTAAGGTTTGGAGGTTAGGACCGTGTCCTGTAGACCTCATTACATACAGGGTCTGACTCACACATGAGTCACTAAACCTGAGCAAGGGAGCCAAAAAAGACGCCGTCTAATTCACATATGTAATTAAACTACTGCGATACTGTGAGATCCTCATAGTTTGAAGTTCTTATTATTGTATCAAACATAAACTCATATATACATCCTACATGGGACTCTAACTTTTGTCTAATAATTCTGAGTTTCAAGTCAAAAAACTTCTCACGTTATTTATTTAAGTATTTATTTATTTAGGAAAGACAAAGTGGAAGCAGCAGCAGCTACCACAGAGGTAGCTGTAGCATCCCTTTGAGAGATGATTTGGCTCTTTTTCAACTTATTTTAAAGACTTATTGTGAATCCAAAATTAAGGTGAGAGTTTGAGCCGCTTCAAACTGAGCATTTTTTATTGTCTTACTATTTATTGACCTGTATTCATTCATAAAAGAAGAAGAAAAACAATCACTTCATGAGGAAACGTCTCCCCAGAGAAGTTTCAGTTAGAGGGCTGCTGGTTAAATCGTTCATTTGAACATCATCATAAAATTTTTTTAAAAAGATGTTGTCACGTCTTAATTGAGTTAATTATAAAAGATCATGATGTCATGTGTTTCTTCATGCATGTTTTGCCTTTTCTCAGTTCGACTCGCTATTCTGTCTCCTTTTTACTGATATTATACTGATGGGCCAATACTACACGACATTTCAATGCTTTGATACCATTCTCACCTTAGTCGTCACTTTGTAGGCCATGTACGCGTTCATCCCATCACCTGAAACACACACACACACACACACACACACACACACACACACACACACACACACACACACACACACACACACACACTGGTGCATGACATTCAGCTGAGATGCAGACTGGTTCAACTGGTTTCTAATGTTTTCTTGCAGCAAATTGCTCAGTGTTACAACAGTTCTGTTGACTGTGTATCTTTATAACCTTGGTCATGTTTACACAGAGGGACTGACGGGCTCAGGTGGAGTTATTAACAGCTGCACCTCTCAATGATCATGAAGTAAGAGTCAGTGTACGGCTCAAATATCAATCTTACAGACATCTCTGTTTAAAAGCCTGTAATGACACTTTAGAGCCTACAGGGGGCACTAACAGGGCTGCGGTGATGTTACATCAATAATGCATTAGTACAAAAATAAGTTATGATGAGCAGCAACATAACACTGCAGGCCTCCTCTGCATTCTACCTCAGCCGAGTCAGAGTTTCTGCTGACAGCGAAGGGTTAGAGAAGCTGATTAATTGTCGTAATCAAAGAGGGGGCTGATGGGAAATGTAGTCTGATATTGCAGAAACATAAGCAGGAAGACAAGCTTGAAATATCTGCATGCAAAACTATCAAAAGTGTAAATATCATTCAAAGCAGAACTCCTAAAACTCTTCAAGGATAATCCAGGATACAAAGAGTGGACTCACCAACTTTCTCGGGGTCGGACACCGATATGTGCATGTCAACTGAATCGCCGCCCTCTTCCTCTTCAATCTAAAGAAAACAGAACTGAATCACTTCAGTAGGATTCCAGAGTACTTTCCAAACTTTCTCTCAAAGTGAAGTCAAAAGAAAAAGGTCAGGAGGCCAAAGGATGAGGTGAGACAAATGTGGAAAAGGCTGATAGAATCAAGAAAGTGTAAATTTCACCAAGACCTGAAAGGTTGAGTCAAACCAGCTCAAAGAGCAAAAATAATGTGTGGGTGCAGTTACCTCGTCGAAGGAGGAGTGTGTGAACATGTCGTCGTGGGTGTGGCCTAAGCGAGGAGTGATGACAGAGATAGGAGGGGTGATGGGGGTGATGGCGGGCGACGGGCCGTCAGACAGCAGGACGTCTCTCTCTGGACTGTCCAACGACACCTCCTCTGTGGCTTCTACCATGAAAAACACAAAGAGACTCAGCTCAAGACGAGAAAGAGCTCAAGACGACTTTAATTCATTATTCATGTGAGTATTTTGTGTGCGGGAGTTCAATCTAACAGAGTTAACACCAACAGGACAACTGACAGCTGATCTGCTGTGCAGTTTTTCACTTGTACGCACTTACAGCTCGTCCATAATTTGGGCCTGAAGTATCAACAGCAAAACTGACCGTCAGCTGTTTTGGCTTTAAAATTAGGTTCCAGTAGGCTTAATTTAAAGTTTTACCTGGCTAATAATTACATAATAATGGAGGAGTTTCATGCAAATAACATTTTAAATGCGTGCACTTCAACACGGATCTCCAGTGTTTGACCTGTTGCCCTCTGGCAGACTCTACAGGTCCACATGAACTTCGACAAACAGAGAAGAAAAGACAGTTTCTCCCCCTGAGCCATCACCACACCGAGCTCAAATATGTACAACTACTCGCCTGCAACCAACACACACATACACACACACATGCACAAACGCACGCTTGCTTGCACGCACGCACACACACACTCTGTAATCTCCAACTTCTACCGGTGAATTTCTAACATCCTTCACAGCACATTATACATTAAACTTTTATGGAGAAGTTTACATCTTCAGCACACAATTTTTACTGCACAGTTCTTCTCTGCAGAGAATTCTTCATTATTGTGCAATATTCAACTTTTTACAGTGCAACATCAGTTATATGCAGTGAAATGTGCAGATTTTCTCCACTAAATATTATTTTTTGTGGAATAAGCCTTTTCCATTTTGCAGTTCCATGATATCTACCGTACAATAGGAATTTCTTTCTAGGCATTGTCACGGGCATTTCTACCAAACAACACACTCTACCTTTTTCACTGTTCAATACACTTTATCTGCTGTGCAACACTCCTTTTTGCATCACTCACCATCTTAAAGCAGAGACTTCAGCAGATCTACTCGATAAATCAGACCACTGCAAGTCCACAAATAAAAACAGACATTTCTTATTTTAGAGAATAGAGTTAAGTCTCTCCTAAAATGTCACTTTGAAAAACTTAATGGTGGCAGAAATACTCTCTTTTTTATGTATAAATGTTCAACTTCAACATTCTTGTGACTCATTTAAAGCTTATTTGACTTAAGTGATTTCCTCCTGACAATGCTCTCCAGCATTAAAGCACATCCTTGGCTGAAGTTGTCAGTCTCTTGATCATCTGTAGCCTTTCAGTTTTGTGTGTAATGTCACAGAATGAATCTATACAGCTACACCGGGTTAAACTTTCAGGCCTCTGCATCACATCTTAGGGCCTCTGTGTTCAGTAAGCGATGAAGATCATCTAAACTCCTCTCCAGCGTCTGTCCCTTAATTTCAGATCTCACCCTGTGATCATCTTGGACTGCAGCTTCACTTTGTCATCTTACCTTATTTGCATCAGAGGAGTTTCGTTTTACAGCTAAATCTCTTCCCAAAAACAGAATCCTTATCGCTCTTCGTTTCAAAAGCTGAAGCCCAAAATGAGGCGTTGAACCTGAGTTCACTCTGAGCCTGAAGCAGAAAGTCTGAGTTAAGAGACGTGGAGGAAAACCGGCTTTATTACAGGATCTGATCTCTAACTGAGGCTCTGGGTTTAACTGAAGAGTGTTACAGAGTCCTCTGATAATGGGCAGGGGGACTTCTGACTCCAGGTCCAGAGGGGCTCCTCCCTTGAATGTGATTGGCTGACCCAGACTCCTTAACTATGGCTTACTCTTTGTCTTTGTAAAGGTGGGATTTATGTTCAAATCTCTTCACTGAGCTTCTGTGTTGAATCAGTCGGTCAGCAGCAGTTTCTGGATTTGGATGTAGATGTACTTCATTAGTCAGACCCAGATGACCCCCTGACTCTTCCCTCAAAAATCTGCTCTATATGAAGCAGTTCTTTGTGTTTCTCAGCTGTATCATAACCGTAGGTGTGTGGTAGTGTGTGTCTTTACCTGCAAATAGGTCCTCTGGGTCGTCATTGAACAGGGCATCTTGTTTGGGCCCATTTGAGTTGGTGCTGATGTCTTGGGCTTGTAGACTTGCTGGTTCTGACTGTAAACAGACAGAAAAACACACAAAAGACAGAAAACCAACAGATGTCAGACAGTGGAGAGATTTTCAAGGAGGAAGTTTATTTAACTTCACATCTGATAAATTCACTAAAACACTCACAGTTTTTCAACAGCTGAATTTTGTTGCATTATTTACAACACATCTTCACACAGTCGGCTGCAATAACAGAGAAAATCAGCTGTAACACCATTTC